TTAGTGCAGTACGAAAGGTAGGTCGAAAAGATTACGATTATGCTTGTTCCAACAAACTATGTTAAGTAAAAGATATGCAAAAATTTTACGTCATGTTATAAGCTAACTAAAAATTTTAACCATTTTAAACGTCGGGCTTCCTATGAAATCCGTTTAACTGGTTATTGATAAAACAAAATTTCTATTGAGCCGCCAAGTATTTTGTTCTGTTCAATTAGCACAACGTTGTACGACAGCGTACCTAATACTCAGCTCATCCTCACTGCACTAGGGCTTAATCTATGGTGAACTGGAACTCCAGTTATGCTCGCAGGTTATGTCGCAAGCATTATGTATGGGTTTGTTTTGTTGGGAACCTTCTGTTTGCGCACAGTTATACCGCCTGAGTTATTGCCGGAAAAGCGTTCGGTCTTTTTTCATTTAGTTTTTTAGTAGAGCAGATCAACTTTGACACCATATTCTCAGTTGTTGTTTCTGGTAACAATGGGAATGCTGATGGTGGGCCTTCGCTCGCCAAAATTACCATAACTCTAGTCGCTGATAGATCGGCCTCTATGCCTTTGCGTGTGTTTCTGTCGATGTGAATGTATTGTGGGTAATGGTAGCAGAATAAAAACTTCGTCCGGGGATAGCGCGTGCGTTATGGCAACGAAAGTTGAAGAAAGTTGAGGTCTGATCCCCATTACGCCACAGCCGCTGACCGTTTCAGATACATCGCCTGCGGGAATAATAAGCCTTGCCACGCGATCAGAGGCACGCTTGGATTATGCCGGTGCATACTCCAGTCTACGCTTGTCAAAACTGCCCAGCTATGTAACCAAGCAACGTACCGGACTGGGTGTTGAACTAATTGCTTTTATCTTTCTTGGCGCGTTTGGAGATAGCAACAACACTAGCACAAATAGCATAGCAGGAAACAAGTTATAGTAACTGGAGCAAAAGCTGCATCATCTTGTCATTAAAGTCCTTTTGTTCGAAACGCTTCCCCTCAAGGTAGCCTGTGAAATTTTTAGGCAAGTTGAATTATACGGGGGGAATATAACTTTTGCAGGTATCAAATAAGGCGTCGACCTGTACTCGACCAGAGTCATTAAAATGTCGATCGTGGCAATCCTAGAGGCGCAGCCCATGAAATCGAGTGGGTCTTGTCGACGACTTTTGATACTTGCTTCATCATTGTCCAGTGCTATTGCTATGACCATTGTCTCTCAAGAGATGAAGTAAGTAGGTTAAAATCTTTCGGCGATTGCCTTAAAAGTATGCTGTGGGCAAACCAGGAATGCACAAGTTTGGATGGGTAAGCATTGTTTTGGTGCTCCGCCTGTAATTGCACCTTCCGTTAGTTTGGTCTCTCTCGCCTTTTTGCTCTGTCTAGTTTTGACTTTGCGTATTCAGCAGCAGTAGCAAAGCCTTGCAGAGAAACATTTACTTTTGTCCAAGCAGGCTTTTCTTCTACTTCTTTTAATATTCCGTATGGAGGAGGGCATTGTATCGCTTGTAGAATTCTACAAAGAATAATATCCCGATCACCGTTACTTCCGCTAGCAGTACAACCGTTGGTATCGCCGTTTGCTACGCCACCACGTGCATTAAAAAAGTCAGCGACTTCTTTCAGGGGCATGACAGGAAAGCGAGGTACCGCTGCCAGTGAAGTGCATACTCCAGCGGTACAAACTACATCCTGCGAAAAGCAGCTTTCACTCGTAGAGCCTGAGAAGCTTTTGAAGTGAATTCACCCGCGGAGTGAATCAGACAGAAGAAAGACTGTTTAGAAGCTCAGAGAACTACATTTTTGTCAACGACAAAGCCCGACAACGAAAGCCTAGGAAAAATAGCGGGCTAAAAGAGAACTAAGAAAAAGGGATTTAGCTTGAAGAAGGTTAACGGGGTCAGGAAGGTAAAGGAGCCAGAACGAGCGCATCAAAGTGGCGGCGAGATATGAAATTGCAAGTGAGGAACGGAAAGTAAACAAAAAGGTATAACATCATAGGTTTATGGCTTTGCCGTCTGCAGCCCGTAGCTAACCGTCACCGCTATGAACCTAAAGTTACCGGTCCTTTGCAATGGTGATTCTGAGAGTCGAGGCCGAGGTCGGTAAATGAACGCTCGAGTCTGCCAAATTTTGTACTTACTCTCCTCTCTCTCTCCTTCTCTCTTTAACTCCTCATAACGCGCTGAATATTCCGTAGAACAAAAAGGATGGTGGGCGCTGGCAGGATAGTTAGGTGGCAGTTGTCGATCGAGCAAGAAAGATAGAAAGAGCCGGTAATTGTAGTGAAACTGGAGGTTGACACAGACCTCTCGGTGGCCCTATTTCCCGACGCATTCCATTTCTATCTTCGACGTCGAAAAGGAGAAAGAAAACTTGAATAAGAAGAGGCTCACAAGGCCTCATACAGGAAGCCACACATGAGTGCGAAAAGCAAATGTTCAACATACAACGACCCGTCTTTCTCGCTCGTGTGACGTTTGCTAGTACGCCATACTCATCTTAAAGTGGTCTTTTCCCACGAAATTGTGTGTGTTTGATTTGACATCAGCTGGCAGGAGCAGCTGGCTGGCTGGTGCAGGAAGAAGGTGGGTTATTTGCTTTTATTGCATAATATAGATTTACCATAAGTATGTACTGCAAAATTAATTTTTATCGATTTATGCAAAAACAAGTGGCATGCAGACATATAGTGTCTAAACTTGAGTTGATAGTAAATAGAGCTAGCACAATGAAGGACGTAATTGTCACCATAAAAAACGAGCGTGTTCAGAGGCTGTCGTAGAGGTAACGCAGTTTAGCATGGTAGCAGTAAGAATAAGCAAATGTCGATAAATGAAACAAGCTTACCCTTGGCCAAATAGCGCACGCATTAGCCGTAATAGCCGTAATGATAACTATATAAAAACTCTACCCAAGCAGAATGCAGATAATATAATGGAAACGTACATATCGGTATTACAGAGTAAAATGTACGAGAATTTTGCAGTCCAGATAAACGGAGGGATTCGTATACAGACAGATTACGTACCAAAGTGGCCATCTATTCACTTCTTTCTTTTTCTGGCGATTGCCGAGTCCAAATTACGTCGTACCATATATAATATTTACATGCAACAAAACGTATGTTATTATCTATCTCTATAGGCACGGCGGTCCTTGTTTCCAAACGAACCCCTCAGACACGTAAAAATCAACATCGGCGCGACAAGCTTGAGCTGTTGTCCCACGCCTAGACTTGGCTTAACAAACACCTGAAGCTTAAATGTGAGTGTATTTCCACTTTATCGGCGGTGTTGATGTTTCCCGACAAGGCGAAGTCAACATGGCAACAGTGCCGCTCACTGGTGGTACATTGTTGATATTATTATATATATGAAGAGGCCCGGTGCCGACCGCTGCCTTCACTAGCACCTATGACAGTTGCACACCGATGTCGTGAAAGGAAGATCCAGACAGCCGAACAGGGCGGGGCCGTGTTAAGTGGGTTCTACTTCTCGAGCCTTGCTTCCCTGCAGGCAGCTAATACGTACAATGATGGGCTAATATATATCCAAACAGCATTTTTTCCCAGCAGAGCCAGGTAAGTATCTATATGGGCTATCTGCGCAGCCGGTACCTTTAGTATCGCCTGCATGACTAGGCATTGACGTGTGCGTATGCCCAAACGTTAATCATGAGTGATGAAGTGTCAATAGCCGCCTACTTCGGCTGGGAACTCTGAGCTCCAACCTGCATTTGTGCCATATGATATATGATGCATGGTGTTCGAGTCTTTCGAGCGCGGATCTCGGATACAGCATTCACTGACTCCTTCCATTCCGTCCGCCAGCAGACATACTAACTACAATAGTCCTTTTGGCTGACACGCATTTACAGACCACTCATACTGAGCCGCTCCCAATGCACTATTATCCCCAGGAATAACTTTTGCCGGTTGTTGTGCAGTCTACCACTATACAATAACCCATAGGGAGGCAGTCGCTGCCAGTGAAGTCATTCGATACAATAAGCCAACACACAACGACTAAACATACATCTATCCCTCTACAGCTGAGAGGTTGACACGCTTCTCAACAGACTGTTAGGTAACCCGCGGGCTATACCGAGTATACCAATGTTTGCCACCGATGATGACGATAGCTTAAGGTCAGCAATTATTTTTCGAATTTCCACTTGGGACGAAGGCTCTTTCGCGTTAAGTCTTTCTATAGTCCTTTAGTTATTTTGCAACGCGAGTGAAGTTGGCGATGGCGTTTATTGTTCTAGCGATGGATGGTGGAAGTAGTAGCTGTTGCTTGACAAAGTGCTTTGCGTGACCTGTTTGATAAGCTTAATTGGCCCTGTGGCACACGAGATAATTACCGTACGCTGATGGACCCAGATACGGACACGAAACCTAGTTGAGTCAATTTTGATGCTCGCTCGGATATGATCTTAACGGGCTGTTGTGCCCTCAACAGCCATTACATATACGTCCCCTAGGTGTGTGCATTTTCCCTTGCAAGCCACCGGTCAGGCCAGTACCACGTGACCCTAAGCCCAAAACAACAGCAACGATTATGACCACACCAATATTGCAACTACTAAGTTGCTCGTTCGTTGCTCGAACGCTGGACGGTCATCCTCTGGCAAACTGGGAACCAGGAGCCCGTGCTTTCACCATCAACATCACCAATCTGCCGCGATATCATGCAATCCCATGGACTTTCAACGTCAAAAATATGCTGCCGTTTTAACCACCGTCACTGTCTAGACGTAGATACCACAACATATCGTGTGTGTGTGGCGGAGAGGGCAACTATTTTGTGGCATAAAAGCCTAAAATCCGATATTGTCCGATGTGAACACCAACTAAAAGCATAGGTGTCCTACATGTGGCCACCCCGAGTAGTTCTCGGGTGGACACAGGAAAGTGTGCAGGGCGAATGGCCAAGATAAGGAAGCAGGTAGTACCGAACGAACAGTAGAAAATAAAAGGCTCAGGCCGTCCCATATCCAACAATATTACCTTACAAAGACTTAGCTTCTCTTACAAAGCACGCTGCACAGGTGTCTAGCTGGCGGATTAGCTGATCAGCTGGTCCTCGTTCAACATTAATCCGGGCTGCAATCACGCAAGTGTCATACTTGTTGGAGCCAGGATTGCAATAGCCAAGTCAGATGACGCCGAAGTCCTTGAGTACATTCGAGTTTATCCTTAAAGCACCTGTTATAACATAACACATCGGTAGTAAACTTGTATAATATTTCTTTGCCATAAAACTATACAGAATAACACATGTGTAACTGATAGTACCCCATAAAGCTGTCGTCAACTATTTAGTTTAAACATGACCAAAATTGAAGCTAAAACGGTTTGCGCTAGAAGTACAAAAGAATAGGACAATTTGGTATTGTAGAATGAGAGGACAAAGGACCGCCAGGCTGCAGTTGATCAAGGGAAGCTTCTGGTTACTGACTGAATTAGTTCTTTCTGCGTGTCTGGGTTTCTTTGCCGCTCGGCCCGTTGATGTCGGCACCCTTTGTCCCACTCTTTCCAACATTGTGCCTTTAGCTCAGCGGTCCTCGGTCGAGACCAAAAGCTCTCCAACGATTACGCATTAACAAAGCCTGCATTAGCAGCAATTCTACAAGCAGCAACAACGAGCATATGGAAACGAGGTTTTGCGTAAATCTATTGGATTGGTACGCTTCTTTAATGCAACCAAACAAAAAGGCCTTTCCGGCTTCTGCGACTATAGTTGTAATAGTTGAAATAGTACTGGTTGGCTGGCTGGACGGTCGGTCGCCCTTTTGGCCACGCTGTGAATTAAGCGGATGCCATTTCACGAACATTGACGGTTCAGTCTTCTGCTCGTATTTTTCCAGACGCATCGGCGCAGAACAGAGAGCTCGGCAGTTTGTCGATCTGGGTTGGGGTTCTTTCTACTGTTATGCACTCGTACAAGGCAGCAGACAAACGAGGGGCGGGGGGGAGCGGGCGCCCACTCGTATTTTATGCTGTTCGAAAGCCGTTAGTCCTGGCATAACAGATCATGCGACGACGTCTCGCTTTTTGCATAGACTTTCGTGTAATTGATAATTCATTTCAATGAAAGCTCGTCCTCGCCCCCTGTTACTTGCGGAGCGGACGCAGTCGACGACAGCTTTATTCCCAGCGCACACAACTGCACTTGAAGAGACGAACCGACCACTACTGTTTAAAAAATGTATACTACGAAAGTAACAAAGTGCAACAGGTCTACGATACTACACATAGCGTTTGTAAGTAGGATCATGTATTTGAAGATGAGGTGTATTTAATGGCCAAGCTTGTCAAAGAGTAAGGCGACGTCTTGTAGCAGTTCTGCCATATGCAGTTCGAACAATAAAGCTTATAATGAAAATGCAAGATGTATACTGTCGAACGGACGCGATTTTTCACAGATATGAATTATTAACATAGAAGAAAAAGGAAAATGTTGGAAGGCGTTTGGTAACGCAGTAACGACAAGATCTGCCTGAGGCCTTCAGCATCTCCCAAGAAGCTAACTGCCCGACGATTGCTACGGATTGCTGGCGGAATTAGGGACTAGAGAATACTTGACTGTCTCGAAGGCCCTAGTCACCTGTAGCTAGTTAATTAGCAGAAGCTTAGTTTGTCAATGCAAAGCTTTTTGGTAGGGTATAGAAGGTTCTAGCCGGTTGCTGAGCAAAAATTGGCGGGAACGATGTTTCATCTCGTTTATGGTTGTACGTACGTTTGCCTTTTTTTCTGTCGTACGTACCATAGTGCCTACCGCCCACCTAGCAGCGCCGTTGTCGCGTACAATTGGCCACGAAAAAAGTACAAAAAAGAGAGAAGAAAGGTCATTACTTTCTGGATTTTTGTCGTTAGCTTAGCGCCACTTCTTGTGCGTAAGCCAGTCATTGATTAGGCTGAAGGTCATTGAACACTGTTCCGGTAACGGGTTCGTTGGCGGCGTAGGTGATGAGACGAAACTCCTGAAACATCGAACAAAAGACAAACATAGCACAACTCAAATGTCTAGATTAAACATATAATCCATGCAATGCAATGTATATGCTTTATTATGTATGCACAGGCTGGTATCGATATCATCTGTTGGGCAGAAGTATTGCGATAGGGTAGAATTGTGACGCATTATTGATGACATTCGTCGGTGAAGCTATTCTAATTGCGTAGCGTTTTGTTCGACTGAAGAGCTCAACGTTTCATCTGATTGAGTGCCTTTAGGTATCTCACACTGAAACTTGATTTCTAATCACTACTTGTTCGTACGACTGAGGACTGCTGTCATGAACTTTACACGATTCACCCCAGTGTAAGATTTATATATGGTGTTGCAATAACAGGTGGAGGTACAAGGGGTAACCGCACACCTATTATGTCAGAGGTTCGCGCTTTGCCCCATTAAAGCGAGCACCGAAAAGGTCGGAGCTACCACGTCACGTTATCATACCCGACAGTCTACCATCATCATTATTATTAACATTATCCTGACATCCAGGTAGCTGTATTGCTTCTCACGCACAACAAACATGATATTTATAATTGATTGATAAGAGACATTGGCCGGGTAAGCAAAAGTGGTATATATTTAATGTAATAAACTGGTTGTCTCTCGCCTCCTTGACTTCAATCACTGCAGATCCTATATCTAGGTAATTAGAATTCACTTGATCTTCCATCCATGCTTATTATCAAATTAAATTTGTTAAGCGAACTTCCCCTTACTAGGTGCACTATCTACTGAACATTGCATCCTCTGTATGCGTCAACGAAACCCAGAGTGATTTCAGCATACTACAGGACTGTGCCGTATGAAAACCGATACCCTTGAGTTATTATGCCCATGCGAAGATTTTGATCAATGCATGTACGTATGATAATATTATTATATTAAACCTTTCATGTGTCCATAATAGTGTCATAAGGCCGTAACGTCTATCTACTTCTATTCGAAGGGTTAGGAACAGGGGCTTATAATCAAGATATTGCATATAATAGTTTGTTACCTTTGAATGATAGCTAAACACCAACGGCTTTCTTCCACCATGAACATCATTGCCATCAGCGTCATTATTAGCATCATCGGCGACACGAGCGTCAAGTTTATTCTTCGAAAGCTGCGCACGGTTACTTGGTTCGTATGTCTATCCCTCTCTGTTCCGTAGCTTCCCTAGCACACCCTTACTGGTAGCAACTGTAGTCAAGTGTCCTTACATTCTCCATGGTTGTTGCTCTTTTTAAGCTCCTATTTTCCCCGCAGCCTGTTTAGAATAGGTAAACTTTCAACGGTATGGCGACAAAGACGCCAAATCTATACGTGTGTGCATCGCATATATTTCTGTGAGCATCAGTCAATTGGTCGGCTGCTTGTTAACATCCAAGCGGCGGCACCGGCACCAGCGACTCTAACGAGACCATCCTGCCAAGCCAGAGAAGATCCTTCTTCTTTTCCTAATTCTTCTGGTAAAATTCACCTATATCGGTATGTTATTTCTACGTGCTCACGCACGAAACTTTTTCGTTGGGAAAGAAAGAGAGTTCACCCTCTTTGGTTTAAATCCCCCATATCTTCTTCGCGTTTTTCGCTGGTTCTGCTGTCAAGCCAGGTAAAGGAAAGGGACGAGCTGTCGTAACTCTACTGCTCTTGATGTAGCTACCGCCGAGAGTTGAACAGATCTGGCAGACGGAAATATCTTTTGACTCAGAGAGAACCTCTGACAGAGACATGCTCCCGGCCGTCAAGTTCGCCTTCATCATGATGCTCCTACGAGCGCTTGTGTGCTGTTAAGCTTATTGCTGTTGGAGTTATTGTTCTCGCCATGCTTGCTGCATTGTTGGCGTCCTCACCAATGTCTCGTAAGAAGAAATCGGTTGAAGGCTGGCCGACTTCGCAAAATATTATGCAAGCACATATTGGTACTTGTTCTCGAGACGGGCCAAGTAAAACGTCACGAGGGAAAAAGTAAGAGACTCGGACAAACACACACCCATACGCGTATGTCTACATAAATTCCATGCTTGATGATATGAACAGACGTAGTGCTTAGTTTTCTCATTATTTGTTGGATTGTTTTTGGTTTCTTTACGAGCTGTAGTGAGTCACACTGCTATTGGTTTCAATATCTGCGCAATACATAATAAGATGATAAACCTTTGGCATATTTTTGTCCTTTGAATAGTCGAAACATACGCCCACGCTTGACACGTATCTGCACTAGGTAGGAACAGTGAAATACTAGATCATGATTTCAGTCCTGTATACGGCAGCATCGAGGAGCTCCTACTCCGGCTCAGCAGTTTGTTTGCAGGCGCATTTCCTATTATGCATCTTCTATCCAGTCGGTAGAAGAATCAATAGAAGCTGGTAAACCGCCAAGCATGCTCGCCAGGCACAGACGCAGAGTGAAGCGGCCAAGTGGGTTGTCTAACCTCTAAGTACCTAGCATCTCGCACGACGATAGACTTCATCTAGTCAGCTACTTGGTTTCCTTAGCATGCTAGGCTGATTTGGCTGATCTAGTCGGTTAAACGGTCCGTCTGAGATAGTGGTGGTGCTACCGAGGTGAACTTTGGCATCTGCTAATTAATCCGTACGCGTCGCGTTGACTGACTCGTGCTTTCCCATGACGGGAGGCCCCAATGGAACCAAGCGCCTAGGAGCCACAAGCCGTCAACGAACTAACCTTGGCGGGTTTACTAACAAAGTGGCCCTATTACTCAGGCACCGATACTGGCTTGGTTCCCCGCTGACAGGTTAATGGTTCAACTAGTTGCTCACTGCGCTTCTCGTTTGCCGCCGTCGTCGCCGCTGCTGCGTCCTCCTCAGCGACCGTCACATGCACAATCGCCTTGAAAGTGAAAGCTAGGCGCAACAGTTAGAAGCTAGCCCCCCAGCACGGTTGGCTTGCAAAGTGGGGAACGTATTGGACAATAAACGACGTCCAAAGTAAAACATCTTGCCTTACCAACATGTCCACAGCGCTTCACGAAATGCTGAAGGCTGGAGTTTAGCGGTTAACGATACAGTCGCTCAATCAAAGGAGTCTCAGCTATATATTGATTGGATGCACGCACCATCAACATAAAGAGTCAGGGTAACTGGTTCATATTGTGCGTGGTCGTGGTGATTAAAATCGATATAATGAGAATAAGTAAGTTATCACAGGTGTGCCTGCATTGAGGAATGACACAGTTAGCCAAGGCAAAACAAATGTACAGAGGATTAATACAGTTAGTAGAAAATCCCTAGACGATATA